AAATATCACCAAATTAAAAAGAAGTAACCCAACTTTTGAAAAGTTGTGAAGTTCTAAATTATGTCATGTTCTAAAATTTGTATTAACTCCCATATGTTAAATTGGAAATTTAGAACATGACAAATGTAAAACCAGATTGTTTCCATTTTACATTATTATGTACTCTGGAGTTATACTGGTCAAAACTTATGTATAAAAATGAAAATAAGTTAACTGAAAAAAACTTATGTATGAAAATGAAAAAAAGTATAGCTAGTTTTGTATATTTGTATTATGAAGCATATGGCTGTAGGCACCAGGGGGATGGGTGGCGGGGGGGGGGGGGAGATGGTGTCTAGATCTGCTTCTGTTATTTTCCGTACATATACATGTATAAATCGTATACAAGAGAAAAAATATAGCTATAATTTTTGTTTGTGTCCCCTTAATTAAAACATTGATGGCTTTTCGTTTTGGCTTGTAAATGAATTTTGGCATGGTTGACATTATGAGACGGAGGCATATAAGAGATTATTATGTGTCTCTGGATGAGGTAAAGTTATACATGCATGACTTATGTGTTAGTTACATCTGAAATATAAAGTTTATGCGTTATAGTTTTGACAAAGTCAACCGCGTTGTTAATCCGGCAATCAAAGGCCCACTTCGACTGGAACTAAAGTAAGTGCCCGAGTTACTCGAGTAACAGCCGAACTGATAGAGTTGCGACTATAGTGACGTCATTTCAACTTTGAACTCTACTCTAGTACGGCCCACGTCTAGGCCTGGGTTATTCGAGTTTCAAGATGGCGGCGTGTGGAAACAACATGGACTTGTAAGTATAAACACTTTGAAATATCAGAGATATTATAATTAAAAGCTGATAAAACATTACGTAGAAAGATAGTTTAATTAGCAAATCTTAAACTGCGAAGGTTTCTATCTATAGTAGAGCGGGATTTTTTATGCATGAATAAAATTAATACAAATACGCTGTAGTGAATCTCTGATATTTCCAAGTGTTTATACTTATGGAACAGTATTTTCTGCATATCCTAAGACGTTAAAGGCGTTGATCGCGTTTTCAGTAATAAAAACAGAAAACTATGCCTAATGAAAGCATACAATCGTTTTACATATATATTCCCCTCCTTCGGGACGAAAGTTTTCCCTTTTTGTATGCATAATATGCATACAAAAAGGGAAAACTTTCGTCCATGTTTACTCGGGTAAGATCTTTTGCTATTAATGCTATTCGGCTGGTATTAGGGTAAGTTTAACAAAATATCTATTTTTAGAATTTGTTGACGTAACTCGAGTACGAACTAAAGTTCCAGTCGAAGTCGGCCAAAGAGTGCATGCCGGAAAAGTACTGCGCCATTATTACCATGGGCGATTCTGGAGGAAGGGTCGGGGTGTGTCTGGACTCTCTTGGGATTTTTAGATTTATTTGATTTCTATGTAAATGACCCCTGACCACCCTAGGAAACATGAACCCCTTTAAAACAATAAGGAAAGTTATTTATCAGTAGAAAATTGACATAGGAAAGACCCCCCCCCCCTTCGACACACACATAATAAATAGGATATTTTGAGGAGTTTGAGGAAGCTGTAAAGATTTTTTTTACATTTAATTCTATTTCATTTATTTTTAGTTGTCAAAACATTTCGAGTCTGACATTGGTTATAGTTGCTGTGGATCCCCACCCCTGAAAAAATTCGATCGTCATCCGCCCCCGCCGGTTACCGTTTGGGTCAAGGTCCCGTCACTTTTATTAATTAATAGCGTAAAACTAAAAACAACATTAATTAATATTGGAACATACAAAAATGAGGAATTTGTCTTGATTATCTTTACAAAGATTGAGATGTTAAAAACCCTCGGTGGCAGTCTATACCGCGGCGTTCTACTTTCGTGAGACTTGTATTAGTACATTTATTATTGTAATATACGGCAAAGAAACAATAACATTATGAACAACAAGATTAACCACAACCTTTTAGCAAAATAAAGTTAAAGCCAAATTATTTTTTTAAAGTAAAAGTACGTAAACATCCATTCTGACATACAGTTCAACATACACGTGTACGTCAGATCGTGTCCAGAAAAATAAAGTTCTTTTGGATTTGTTATTTCTTCATGGTGTCAGCAAACAGTTTATATAATTGATCATAAAAAATATAGTTTAATTGAGTGTCAGCAAAACAATTTATTACAAATATTATCATGGTTCTATTAAATTGGAACATAAAAATATATGACAGTTAATTACAAAATGTTATTCAACTTTGAGAAACAGTAAACAGAAAATTTGACGAAGACTGAGAGCCTATTCATAAAACAAGGGGTGTTTGTGAAACACTGATACCCCCGTGTAGCAGCTTACAGGAAGGTTCAAACATTTTCAAATGCATGTCAAAGTTCAAGGTCAAGTCATGGGATCACAAATGTTATCTCTCAAATAAAGGACTTGTATCAATGGGTATACATATACCAGGTAAAAATGAAAGTCTAAGCACCAACTATCCAAAACTTATGTTCATGCGGTTGATCTTTTCTAAAAGTGGGTCAAAAAAGTCAAGGTCAAAGGATAAAAATTTATGGTACACAAGGGAAGACCTTGTGTCATAAGAAATACACAATATCATGCAAATCATAAGAGCGATTGCACCAACTTTTCAAAGTTATGTCAAAAATTAAGTTTTTCAACAGTAGGTGAAACTTCAAGGTCAATGTCAAATATTGGCATCCAAAGGAAGGTCATTTTACAAGGAATATACCTGTAAAATTTGAAAGCCCTAGTCTAAGTGTTCTAAAGTTATTGCCAAGGTTAAAATATTTTCAAAGTGGGTCAAAGTCTAAGGTCAAAAATATTTACACCATTGGGAAGGTCTTGTCCTGTTGAATACACGTGTAAATTTACTAAATTATGAAAGCCCTAGCTGTAGATGTTCAAAAGTGACAGCCAAGGTTTGGGTTTGGGGAAAGTTTGCAAAAGTGGGCCAAACTCCAAGATGAAGAGGTCAAATGCGTTGATACCTAAAGGAAGATCGTGTCACGAGAAATATACACGTGAAATACAAAAGACATACCTCCAACCAATCAAAAGTTATGGGCACAATTAGAGTTTTGGCGAACATACATACAAACAGACGTATCTTTTGATTGGGTGGAGCTCTGGCTTTCATATTTCACATGTATTTCTTCTATTAATGGGTACCAACAACCTGAAAAGTTATTTTGCTTGCCCTTGACTCGCACTCAGGTATAAAAAGGTAAAGCTATTGTAAAGAAAAAAATGTACGTTGTGGCTAGATGATTCAACAATGAAAGAAGAACAAGAAAACAAGATGTGTTTGTAAAACTCTGATGCCCCTGTATGGAAGCTTTTGACGAAAGTTAAAGTTTTTCAAATGCAAGTCAAAGAGATCCAAAATGTCATTACCATAAGAAAGGGCTTGTGTCAATGGATATATTATATGTACTGGTCAATTTGGAAGTCCAAGCACCAACCATTCAAAAGTTATGTTTGACCCATTCATTGTTTTAATAAGTTGGTCAAACACCAAGGTCAAAGGGTCAAAATTATTGGTATGCAAGGAAAGACATTGTCATAAGAAATACAGTCTGCAAAATATAAAAGCCTTTGCCCAACTGTTCAAATGTAATGGCGAAGATTAAAGTTTTTTAAAAGTATGTGAAACCCCAATTAGGTCAAAAGGCAAAAAAAATTGTTGGTATCCAAAGAAAAGTCTTGTCTCAAAGAATATAATCAATATGTATCTGTGAAATTTGAAAGCCCCACTGCATGTTAACTGTTCGAAAGTTATGGCTCAGGTTACAGTTTTTAAAAAGTGGGTCAAACTTTAAGGTCAGGGTCAAAATTATTTATATCCATTTAAAGTCTTGTTACAATAAATAAACGTGTGAAATACGAAAGCCCTAGCACCAACTGTTCAAAAGTTATGTTGGTGCACAAAGGAAGGTCTTGTCACAATGATAAACATGTGAAATACATGATAGTCATAGCTCTACCCAATCAAAGGTTAAGGGCAAGGTTAAAGTTTTTAGTTAAAGTATATTATCATGACCAATAATGGTTTTGCTGTTCTTGAAAAGATTTATACAGAATTTTTCCTACGTAAAACAAAAAGTTTGATCACACGTTGTGGCCCTATACCTTATACCCCTGGGGGTCATGATTTGAACAAACTTGAATATACATTACCTGAGAGTGCTTCCATATTGATATGATCAATCATGGCTTTGCTGTTCATGGGGAAAAGATTTCTTCTATAAATTCCTTTGTAATATGACTATTTTCATCTGACTTTGTACAAAGCATATGCATGAATACATGTATATGCATATGATATATAGAGATGATATATAGAGATGCATGGGCAGAATTTCATCTAGTCTGATAGAATTTATTATTTTATGCAGTCATGAATTAATGTCGGGGCACCGATTCGTCCCTTTCAAAAACTGTTGGATCCGCCCCTGGAAAGTACACGCTGTATTTTTAAACGAACACGTGCTGTGCACTTTCAGCTCTGCATTTTTTTTTTTTTTTTAGCGAGTTTGGAATTTAGAACAAAACACGGCAATAATTTTAGAGTTAATGATCACGAAACACCCACAAGAGTGTAAAGTTAAAGTCAGGTTTTTTAACCTAATTAAATAAAAAGATATTATATAGATTAATAAAAAAAAAAGGTCTTCTACTCTCATCAAAATAAACATGATTGTCTTAATATACAGTACAAATTATTTATGCTTTTTATTTAATTTAATTTTATTTAAATTTTGATTAATCATTTCATTTTCTTAATATTACTTCAATGAATTAAAGGGAAAATACTAACGACAGTATATAGTTCAAAACATCCATGTTAACTGATATTTGTGAAATTCTGCATTATCTTTTCTATATATGTACACGTGTATATTGTTTTATTATTCTTGGCTATATAAGATCAGATGTGAGAGAATACTTCACACATTCGTTCTTTCATCCCGGATCGACATTTAACGTTATCATTTCTAATTTTACGTTGTTTTTTTCTGGAAAGCACAGTGCTCGCATGTCAGTCGTCCGTGTTATAGGGCTACCTTGAGATGGTAATTCTTCCTGATTACAATCGTTTAGAAGGAGACACTTCACTTTAGTGGAATCAATATGCCGAAATCATCACGTCCGCCTTACTATTTGGTTAAATATTCATTACCCAACTGTCAAGGTAAAGTCACGAGGAATTCCGCATGAATGTAAACATGGCCGAGGTGAGGAGCGTACGTGACGGAGCGAACATCCCCATGGCGTGTCAGTTATGTAGCTCCGACGAGCGGCTTATGGTCTGCTCAGGGTGCAGGAGAACTTGGTATTGTTCTAAAGAGCACCAAAAGCTAGACTGGAAGTATCACAAGAAAAACTGTAAACGAATGAGAGAGGAGGAGGGGGAAACTAAACACAAGCATGGCATCACGTTAACTCCTTCATCGCTGGAGATTCCGCGCTACAAAGGTGATGGCATCGCGCAAAAAATGTCAGCCGAGGCAATGACCCATAACATGAATAAAATGAGCCAAAGTTTACATGATGATTTAAAGCTGACAGATGATAAACCTATCAAGAAGAAAATATCAGAAGAGTTCTACACCAGTCAGTCCAGCAGCTCAGGCCGTAAGGTCCTGACAGATGAGGGCAGTTCCGAGTCGTACATCCTTCATTCAGCTGAGTCTGCTCTTAACGAGCCCGTGTACCACAAACCCCCCGCCCAGATCTCGTCCCACAGCCAAGAACTACGTTACACCCCCTCCGTCCGCTCGTATGAAGATGAGCCCGTCGACAACATGCATGCATACCTCAGTGTTCTAGAGTCTCGAAATGAAATGTTAGGAGATTATGTTGTGAAGTGTCTCCATACTTATGGAATTTGTGTCATGGACAACTTTTTAGGAGAAACAAAAGGTTTATCTATTCTGGCAGAAGTCAAGACGCTTCACAAGATGGATAAAATGACGAGCGGGGAACTTGTCAACCGCGGTCTCGGATCAAATACACAGCGAATCCGCGATGATTTGATCACTTGGGTGGATGGACGTGAGCCAGGCTGCTCAAACATTCAGTTTTTAATTTCATCCATGGATGCAGTGATTTTAAAATGCACTAAGAAACTGAAAGACTGTACCATCAATGGCCGTACAAAGGTATGTTTCAGATGATACAGTGATTGTAAAGGTACCTCTGTGGAGTATTGTATAATGGTTTTGTTGTAATATGCACTTTTTATGTCTTCCATTGATAGATCGGAAGAACTTATGCATTTTAATGTATTTGTCTGTCTGTCAGCATTACCCCAGTACCCCAGTTAAAGAGTGTGATGTTCCCCATAGACTTCCCCCTGGAGGTCTTTCTCTAGTGTGAGACTTTCCCCTGGGGATTCTGACTGCAGTGTGGGATTTCCCCAGGAGGATTCTGACTGCAGAGTGGGATTTCCCCAGGGGGGATTCTGACTGCAGAGTGAGATTTCCCCAGGGGGAATTCTGACTGCAGAGTGAGATTTCCCCAGGGGGGATTCTGTCTGCAGTGTGGGATTTCCCCAGGGGGGATTCTGTCTGCAGAGTGGGATTTCCCCAGGGGGGATTCTGACTGCACAGTGGGATTTCCCTAGGGGGGATTCTGGCTGCAGAGTGGGATTTCCCCAAAGGGGATTCTGGCTGCAGAGTGAGATTTCCCCAAGGGGGGATTCCAATTGCAGAGTGGGATTTCCCCAGGGGGGATTCTGACTGCAGTGTGGGATTTCTCCAGGGGGGATTCTGACTGCAGAGTGGGATTTCCCCAGGGGGGATTCTGGCTGCTGAGTGAGATTTCCCCAGGGGGATTCCGATTGCAGAGTGGGATTTCCCCAGGGGGGATTCTGACTGCAGAGTGGGATTTCCCTCCTGTAAAATTTCCCTCTAGAGCAACATTTCCCTGCAGGAAGACATACCCTTTGGAGTTATTGTGATGTATCATATATCGATCATGTTGATGGTGGGTCTGAACGATATGCGTATCATATCGTTATTTCGGAATCGTAATACCGAATGTGGTGTTTTACTTTACATTAAAATTTTTAAAATGGTGTCTGAAAGCAAAACAAGCCTGGTGGAATATATATCTAGCGTTTGGAAATCTTTAAAAATTAATTTCTGTTGTAAGTGATCGTGTAACATGTGTAATGAAAGTGTTCTTTTCCAAAATATACAGTTAATTGTTGGTATACAGTACACATGATGGTTTTCTGTTTTACCTTATTATGTCATTATACAGAACAAAAGGTTTTTCTATTTCATTTTGATTGCTCAAATCATGACCCTGGGGCAACAGTAGGGCCGTTATGGGTGATCAAAGTAATATGATTACATAGAAAAAATCTTTTTTTAAAAATATTCTTCTTGAGAACAGCAAGGCTGTGATTGGTCATTAGGGTTAACTTAAATCATGTAAATGGAAGCATCCTCTAGTAGTTTAGATTTAAGTTTGTTCAAATCATGACCCCCATGGGTAGAGTGGGGGCAAAATGGGGTATCAGTGTTTTTCATAGGAAAACATGGGAAATTTCGTAAAAATTCTTCACAAAGCCATGATTGATCAATTTGAAAGCATCATTAAAGTGGATCATAACAATAAACAACAATGGCAATATGTGTCATATTAATTAAAAAGCATTCTTAGGAAGTGCAGATTTAAGTTTGTTCGAATCCTCCCCCCCCCCCCCCCCTTTCTCCCTTGAACCCACTTTTATAATATGTTGAAACTTCAATTTTGAACTCATTTTTGCTTTTACCCAGCTAGTTGCTCAGGTGAGTGATGTGACCCCTGGGCCTCTTGTTTCAAAATTGAGGGTTTGGGTGCTCTGAAATATCTCGCTTGTTTTACGGGGCACACTACTTTTTTTATGGCTTTAACTTTTTGTCGAGACTTTTTTATACAAGTACGTATTCTTCCAAACGATGTACTATACGTTTTAATAGAGCTAAAAGCCATACATGTAAAAATTGTGAATTAGTTCGACCAAAATTTGACATTTTACCGCTTAATAATAACTTTCACCTTCCATTTGCATGTCGTCGGCAGTAACTGGTGACCTGGATGAAATGAAATTTGCATAATCACTCTTCTTTCAGTGGTGAACTCAAATTTCGCTTTTATGTAACTTGAGGATTAAAGAATTAAGTTGAAATAAAAATGTAACGATAGTAAGTCTTATTGACAAAAATGACGAAAATACATACTAGTTAGTAAATATGACGATTATCCATCATTTTTCAGAAATGACAGATTTCAGTCTCACCCCTGACTGATGAAGGAAAGGAAAGTCCCTCCCAAAATATCGTTTTTCAAGTTTGTGGAAGAAAGTAATTTTTTCTGGCTTGTCCACAATTTTCTCAGATAGTTTTGTTTTGGACAGGGATGTCAACAAATCATATTCTGTCAACTGCATTCATTACTAGAAAAATTCAGCACACCATTTTTTTAAATTTACTTTTTTTTTATTTGTTTAAATACATGATCATTACAAATTCAACTTTATACTAGGAAATCAAACCTGATATGTTATTGTTCATCATTTAATTCTGTTAAAGCAAATTTTCATTGCCTTAGAAGAATGGGATTATTTTTTCAATAAGTGGCTGTTATCAAATAATTATAATCTTATTTCAATGTATTCTAAGATAATTTATACCATGATTATAGTCTGTGGAAATAACTTCCCATTTCTTTTTATCTAGCCATTGGAACAAAATATGGGTTAATATTAAGCTTGGGTTAATAATAAATGTATAGACAACAGTGGAATCTCAATCAATTTGTGTGTGTTGGTGGGGGGGGGGGGCATTATTGTGGGCAACAAATCATAAATTTAATTCTATGAAAGCAAATTTTAATTTCCTTAGAAGTATTAGATAATTGGTCTACTGTGATTGATTCTATTCATACACAATTTAATTATTAAAATGTATTGTCCAATTATAATCTTATCTAGGAATTTATTTTAAGATATAAAGGCATAATAAAAATGAATTCCTAGATCTCTTCCGCAGGTAGGCAGATTTTATATAATTATTTATTTTTTCCATTGTGCAGAATTTTGTTGACTTCATCAATTGGTGCAAATTTATCTATAATGCCCAAATTAAAGTCATTCTAGGGGTCCATTTAAATATGCACATCTCTTTAAGTCTTACTACACATCACCAATCTGATCCTTTTTAGCTCACCTGAGCCGAAGGCTCAAGTGAGCTTTTCTGATCACATTGTGTCCGTCGTCCGTCCGTCCGTCCGTCTGTCTGTCCGTCTGTCCGTCCGTCTGTCCGTCCGTAAACTTTTCACATTTTCGACTTCTTCTCAAGAACCACTGGACCAATTTTGACCAAACTTGGTACAAAGCATCTTTGGGTGAAGGGGAATTTAAATTGTTAAAATGAAGGGACATATCCCCTCGCAAGGGGAGATAATCAAGAAAAGACAAAAATAGGGTGGGGTCATTAAAAAATCTTCTTCTCAAGAACCACTGGGCCAGAAAAGCTGAAACTTATGTGGGAGCATCCTGGGGTAGTGTAGATTCTAAATTGTTCAAATCATGACCCCCGGGGATTGGGCGGGGCCACAATGGGGAATCAAAGTTTTACATAGAAATATATAGGAAAAATCTTTGAAAATCTTCTTCTCAAGAACCACTGGGCCAGAAAAGCTGAAACTTATGTGGAAGCATCCTGGGATAGTGTAGATTCTAAATTGTTCAAATCATGACCCCAGGGGATTGGGCGGGGACACAATGGGGAATCAAAGTTTTACAAAAAAATATATAGGAAAAATCTTTGAAAATCTTCTTCTCAAGAACCACTGGGCCAGAAAAGCTGAAACTTATGTGGAAGCATCCTGGGATAGTGTAGATTCTAAATTGTTCAAATCATGACCCCAGGGGATTGGGCGGGGCCACAATGGGGAATCAAAGTTGTACATAGAAATATATCGGAAACATCTTTGAAAATCTTCTTCTCAAGAACCACTGTGCCTGAAAAGCTGAAACTTATGTGGAAGCATCCTGGGGTAGTGTAGATTCTAAATTGTTCAAATCATGACCCCTGGGGATTGGGCGGGGCCACAATGGGGAATCAAAGTTTTACATAGAAATATATAGGAAAAGTCTTTAAAAATCTTCTTCTCAAGAACCAAAGGGCCAGAAAAGCTGAAACTTATAATGAAGCATCCTGGGGTAGTGTAGATTTTAAATTATACAAATCACGACCCCCGGGGGTTGGGTGGGGCCACAATGGGGAATCAAAGTTTTACATAGAAATATATAGGAAACATCTTTCAAAATCTTCTTTTCAACAACCACTGTGCCTGAAAAGCTGAAACTTATATGGAAGCATCCTGGGGTAGTGTAGATTCTAAATTGTTCAAATCATGACCCCTGGGGATTGGGCGGGGACACAATGGGGAATTAAAGTTTTACATAGAAATATATAGGAAAAATCTTTGAAAATCTTCTTCTCAAGAACCACAGGGCCAGAAAAGCTGAAACTTATATATGGAAGCATCCCGGGGTAGTTTAGATTTCAAATTGTCTAAATTATGATCAGTGGGGTAGGGTGGGGTCACAATATGTATTACAAGGGGTAAATCTAGTAAAGTACAGAATGGCCAAAGCTTCTCAGGTGAGCGATGTGGCCCATGGGCCTCTTGTTTAATTTACAGTTAAAATATATCATTAAAGGAGTTAGCAAGATACCAGCTTTTCTGATCAAAAATTGTCTGTATGTCATTGTCATTGTTGTCGTAAGTCCATAATATAAATATTCCTAGATTCTCATCCCCGCCAGCCCCGATTTTATACCCCTGTCTCGATTTTTTTAATTTCTGTTTTTCTTCATCTTAATTCTGATCGGGATCGGTATTCATCTACCATTCTACTTTCGTTTTAAATCCCGCGAAAAGTTGACATGATTTTGACAGCTGAAAAGATGGTAATACATGCGTATATATTTTAAACAAGGGTCATTGGTTGAAAAAGATTGGTGATGATGTGAAGTAAGAGATAATTGAACCTTTACTATGACTTTTATTCAGGTATTGTAGATAAAATTACAACATTTGACCAGGTCAATAAAAAATCTGCAAAATTGAAAAAATAAAAAATATAAAATAAAAGCCGCCC